AGCCCGAGCCTGGTCTGGGTCTGAGAAAATGTGTGCTACTTGCCCTGAGCCCTGACTGCGGGCCGGGCCGGGCTCGGGCCTTCAGGCTGGCTTGGGCCCGTGCAGTGCTCTAGCTAGCACATCTGCCGTCACGTTGTGGCAGTCGGTTTCAAAGCTTAGCATGCCGGGGCAGCTTGTGCGGCATTTTACCCCTTTTGGCTACCACTAAACTTGGCCAGCTCACTTTACCGCTGACTGTACTTCTTCCTCTCGTCTTCAGCGGTTACACTTAAGATTCACGAGGCACAAGGCAGTAAGTTTTAAGGCGATGAACGAAGTCGCCATTAACGGTATTTTTTTGTGAAGAGGGTTGGAATTTAGGTATCCCATTTTTAATCTTTTTACAAAAAGTGGCTCACAAATAAAAAATCTACAACTGCCAGGGCTAGTTTTGGTTTGAAGAACAGTATTCATCTCACAAAAATTGGAGCTAGCAATGTTGATGGGAATTTTCACTTAATTCAAAGGCTATGACTGGTTTTTAGCCCTGCCGGCCAAGGTGAAAATGTCTAACTGGGACCAGTTGAAAAGCTAACTGGTTTCAACTGGTTTCAGTTGGGAGTCAACTGGTCTCAACTGGTTCCAGTTGGGAGTCAACTGCTTTCAGTTGGGAGTCAACTGGTCCCAGTTGGGAGTCAACTGGTCCCAGTTGGGGGTCAACTGGTCCCAGTTGGGGGTCAACTAGTCCCAGTTGGGGTCAACTGGTCCCAGTTGGGGGTCAACTAGTCCCAGTTGGGGTCAACTGGTCCCAGTTGGGGTCAACTGGTCCCAGTTAGGAGTCAACTGGTCCCAGTTAGGAGTCAACTGGTTCCAGTTGGGAGTCAACAGGTCCCAATAGGGACTAGGGTAAGAAACATCAAAACGTAGAAGACAAAAAATAGACAGGACGACGTCTCAAACTTCTCAGGTTAATCCAACATGATTAATATTCACGAGCTTGCCTGCACCCTTACGAGATATCTTGGTATAAATACCATGTGTATAAAGTATGAACAGGTATCAGTCTTCGCACGCATGTGGTGGTTCTAGAGGCATTATAAGGCCGCTTTCCTTTCTGTCCTCAAATACCAATTTTTTTTCTGGACTTGTAGCTTTGGCTTTGCTCGCACGTAAGGTGAATTGTAGTTCAGTTTATTTTTTAATTGAAGTTATCCTGCAGCGTTCAAATGGCATTATCACAAAAGTGGTACAAGAATTCAATCATAATGTAGTTAAAAATACACTCAACATGCCTATACTTATATAAACATTAACAAGTGCAACTATCACAGAAATATACCTACAGTAACCGTAGCGGAAATTATTATGTTTGAGGTATGTCCAAATGTATTCTAAGCGTTTTTTTTTTGTATCTTCAAATACACTAAAACCACAAAAATACATAAATATATCTGACACCAACAATATAAATACCTAGCAGCAATCTAAATAAACATTAAAAGTTGTTTCTCAGGTGGCTAAAATGACAAATATTACATGAGGTAGGCTTCCACAAAACCCGACTTGTAAAAACAGGGCATATTTCGAGCAAGAAGTAATTTTTTGTACAAACTTTATACCCAATCCCCAAAATAAACAAAAAAAAATGCACCTTTTTTTTTAGCGGTTGGTGACACTGTAGTTCATCAATCCAAAGGTACAGTTGCCAAAAGTGTCTGTTGTCTACCATTGACCCCGCGAGTTCTAAGTTTTTGGCCGGAAAACATCTGAATCCTCGCCGCCAAGTTCCTGGAGTGCTCTATGACTGTTCAAGAAACGCATACAATAAGTTTTTCCATCGTCCGTATAATTTTTCAAGCTTTGAGGTGCACGTTTCTATCGTGAAGTGACGGACGATTCAACATGGCTGCCATCTTCCCCGCCACTGGCGGCCAGCTGTAGCTGAGTCTTTCAGCAGAAAAATACCCTAACCATCGCCGAAAAGTTCTTGAAAGTTCTAATGGACGTGCAAGTAAGGCGCACGGTACGTTTCCCAGCCGTTTGCGTGCCTTTTCAAGAGCCGGGGAGCTGATTCCCGTCAGGATGCGACTGCAAAATCTACATGGCACCGATCTTCCCGCCTGCCTGGCCAGCCTTAGCGAACCTCTCGTGTAACTTTGCGATGCCTTCTGACGATCAGCAGGTGCACCGGACGCCTTCGCGAATCTACAGGCATTTGCGGGATGTCCGGATTATGACCAGGCAGCTACAAGGTGAAAAACTGGTGGCCGAGACCGACCACCTTTGTTTGTGGCCATCGCCAGTGCCGCCTCCATCGGGTTAGATCATTAGATTTCCAGGCATCGGGCCGCCGACCGAAACAGACTGGCAACAGCTCATCTTCAACAGCACATAACAAGCAATTTTTTTTTCTTTTTCGAAAAGCGTCTTTTTAGTAGTCGAGCTTGTTTTTAATCTTACTTTACATGTGCGCCCGGGTCCCAGAAGTTGTGCAAGTGGAAACTATTTTTATCTCCGGTTCCTCTGTTTCTTCTTCTTTTTTCGTCGCACATGGGAGTGTCAATAGAAAGTACTTGTTTTTTGTTGAGTGTAAAAGTGCATTCGTTAGTCATATGCGAATAATGTTGTGCAAATAGGTACAAGGCCTCGTAAAAAAAAAAAAACAGAAAAACCTGAGAAGACTGATGGGATATAGTTTACCATTGTACCGATAGTACAAAATAAACCAGTTTCTAATTGCAATCTGTGAAGTACTCAATGCGTTTTACAGTTCTATTTTGTGCATTTGCTGTGGACAACTTTTCATGGACATACATTTCGTCAACCCGAGCGTTTCGACACTCGTTATGCGCATTGCACGCTGTATTAACATTTTGTCACGCGTGTGTCACTGAGGTTCCAGTTGGAAAAATACCAATTGGTATATGCCAGTTAGGGAGCTCCAAAACACAATTGCTCGTGGTTCCAATGGGAACCACAACGGGACCCAGAAGCATAATCTAGCGCTATAGTGCAACCAGCTGCAACTGGGATCCAACTGGTTCCAGTCTAATTGAGACCCAACTGGGACCAGTTGCAACTGGAACCCAACTGGTCCCAGTTTAACTGGGACCCAACTGGGACCAGTTGCAACTGGGAATTGTTCTTTAAACCAGTTGAACTGGGACCAGTTGGATCCCAGTTAGAAATTTTCACCTCGGAATCTTATCATTCGCAATCTGCCACTGCCAGCTTTGCGCCTGCTTCACGAGTGGTAACTTTGGTGCACCCCAGAGTTTCCCATGAGCTTCAAGTCATTCTTAAAAGAGTTGATTTAGTGGTTTTCAATAATGCTCACTAGGTTTCTAATTGGAACCATATGCCTATTTTCACTAATTAAAAAGTTCATTAACAAATTTTAATTAATTAGCTGACTTATCGCAAAGATTAGCCACCACATAATGTCCCCCGGCCGTATATTCACCTGCACAAACTGCTTAAGTGTAACTTTCACGGCTTTTTTCAAACAAATCTGTAAAGCTAAAAAAAACTGTATATATAATTATTGCAAAAGGAAAACTTTAACCAAAAAATAATATGGAGCCGACGTTTCAAGGCCAGTTCGGCCTTGTTCACGGGTGACTGTTTTCGTCCTAGTCCTCTTCTTGCAAAATGCCCGGTGTAGTTGGCTTCTTTAAAGTGGCCGTTGTTTTTGCACGTGTGTTATGGTTCGTAGCGCCCCGCGTAACGCACCGCAAACCGGACACATAGGCGCTTGGAAGTGTCCCAGCTGAACGGTTGACGTTGCCTAGTGTTCAAGATGACCTCCCTGTAATGACACGTACCAACTAGCTCAACTTAAGCCTGTTACCATGTTTGCACAATTATAATGCATCCTCAATTCTAATGCACTTTCAGATTTAGCTCCCAGATATTAAAAAAAATAGCCTTTGCACTCTGGTGAAGAAGGAAGGCCAGCGAAGCTGTACTACGTTGGGAATGAAGTAACGGCCCGCCGCAAGTCGGCAAGCCAGAGTGGAAAGGCTGGAAAGGTTAATTGCCACCATCTATGAGCGACGGCGGCAACCAGATAACCGGCAGGCCGGTTGTCTGGCTGCCGCCGTCGCTAATAACACAAGGCAGCTGTCCAGATTTATGTCAAGATTTGTTTGCCCACAGACACGATACTGGGGAAACTAGCCCTTAACAGCTCTGCTGTAAAAGTATACTGCTGCTGATTCTACCATGCAGGTAAAATTATAAAGATTGAACACATGCCCCATAGAACACATTTTATAAAACGCACGCCAACACAAAAATAACTACTGAGCACTAGTCGCCGTTGTCAGAGTATGACAATAGTTCAATCTTCACTGTCCACAGAGGTAATCTTTGCTTTCATCTAAAGCGTTCTAAGTGCCACACTTCTTGTGCTTGTATGAGCGCGCAACCATCGCCTCTGGGAGGGTCTTCTTCCAAACAACACTTTGCAAGCACGTGGGGTCGCTGGGATTGCGAGGCCACGCAGTGCTGCTCCACTGTTATTTTTTCCCGCCAGTGGATGGCCTTTTGTTTAAGTAAAGCCTCCTAGTGGAATTTATTTTGTTTTTCCATCTTAAAAGTGGCAGACATGAGTCCGTAGATGCGACACAATCCGCGCGATATGGATACCGAAATGGCAAATGTAAACAAACGGTCACGATGGCGATGCGGCTATAGTCATTTTATATTGAGTACTGCGTTTTTCTTTTGAGTTTTGTTTTTTGGTTTCAACTATAACACAGATGTAGTTTTGGACACCGATTTCGGCAAAAAAAAAGAGTGCGTTAGAATCGTGCAAACATGGTATGTCCAACGTCCTGCCTTCACCCCAACACGGGCCCTATTCGACAAGTTCCCAAGATTTGGCTACATTGTGAAATCCAAGCGCAGCTCTTGAAAACACTAGCGCAAACAAAATGTGCATCAGTGGACAAGCCAGGCTCGCCATTATATCGAACAGGCCAAACGGTGGGTTGAGAGGAGACCTCAAAACAACCGACCGGATTGTGAGAGCCGTTGAAGGAGCTTCTTGCCGCACTCGAACCGGCCGTCCTGCTCTCCCGTGCTGAACACGTGCCTGAAGCTGAAGTCTCCCTTTCCCTCGTCCCAAAGCCCTAGCTCCTTGGCCTTGTCTCGCAGTCCCTGGCTGCACAGGTCCATCTTGGTCTCGATCGAGAGGCAGTTGGAGATGTTCCGGCAGCCGCCTGGGGCATAGATCAGACGTCCAACAAACAGTTTCAATTTGGGTTACGCAGATTCGAAGGCGTTAATTATCTCGTCGTTCCATGCCAGGAATTCTTAATGTTGTCAACATCGAAAAAGCCCCGGCCATCTCTTTCAATGGTTGGACGAGGCACCCCTCTCAGTTCCATGCATTGATGCAATAAAAAGGTGCACAAGCCTTCTGACCTTGTAAGCAATAATGTCCCTACGTCTCTACTAGAAAGCATTTGGCTCGTAATTAGGCGTCAATGGGCGGCTTAGCGTAAAATCCCGGGAGATGCCCCACCCCTGAAAGGTAACCCAGCGCTATTTATTTATTTATTTAATTTACCTCAAAGCGCCCTTTCGGGCATTGTATGAGGGGGGGGGGAGTACAAGGTTTTCGACAAAATGTTGAAACGATACATATCGTACATATTTGTTTAATAAACAAGGAACAATGCAATACACCCACTCGAGAGGAATACACTCTTACACAAACAGGAAACAACGTGCCAACCAGGCTACAAAAAGAGAGAAAAAAGACCATCTTTGCACATAAAAAAACAAGAAAGACACCATCCCGCGATTCATTCCATGGAAAAGTGAAACAAACGTTCACCTGATTTGCTATTTTTGCTAAATACCGAAAGATAGCCCACTCCTAGTAGTCGCAGTGTTAGGATCAATGATGACCTGGGCGTAAATGCATCTAGTTAGCTATGGCGGGATATAAGTAAACATTGCTGACTGGGAAGTACAGTCATCTTCGCTTTATTGTGCCACCACGATAACAAGTTTGGCAGGGACATATGACCTTAAAACAGGAATGGGCAGTATTTCAAATACAAGTATTTGAAATATGTATTTCAAATACTTTGTGTATTTTGCATTTGTATTTAATTACAAATTGGGTAATGTATATGACGTGTGTATTTAAACACTAAAACGTGGGTATTTCAAATACAATTGTAATTAAATACAATTTTGTGGGCGAAAGTACATCCTTCAAATTTATTGTCACTGTCCAGAGCAGGAAGAAAACTACATTCTGCACCAAATGCAGTGTCTCTCAATCAAGCACAAGCGTTTAGTGACTTTGTAATTACGGTGCTAGTCCAGGGCAAGAATAGTGACGAAATCGACGTTCACAGGGAGACTGGCTAAATAAGTGCCTGTGACAACTTGTGATGCTTTCCAGCCTGATTTCCATCCATATTTTTGCCTGGAACATTCTAAATGCGCGGGTCGTCCAAATTTTCGTAACTGGTGCGAGTTGCAACAATAAAAAATTCTCTAGCTAGTGCTGCACGTCTTGGTCGTCTCGGTTCTTTGTTGGTCTATACCAAAATGTAATCGACAAAAAAAGCTGCTTGAAGCTCTGTAATTTTTTCACCTATTACATCCAAGCTGATTACATTTTTTTGTGATTATAATTCTATTACTTTACTAGAGCCTCGCACACTAACTCCGGAGTGTGCGATGCAAAATTAAAATGAAATACCGAGAAACCCGTTGCAGGTGCCCTGAAGTCGCCGACGCAAATTTTGAGGAATGTATTTGGAAAAGTATTTGGAGGAGACCAAATACATTTGGTTGTATTTGTATCTTGTACTTAAATGCTTTTTTGGAAATGTAATTAGATTTGTAATTAAATACATTTTTGACGAATTATTTTGTATTTGTATTTCGATACATATTTGCATGTATTTTGCCCATCCCTGCCTTAAAATATAATTTTTTAAGACTTTTCTAAATTGCACACCAAAAGTTAGCACACTGTATTTTCACCCAATTTTCTCTCGATTTTAGGTATGCTATCTCTCAGGATATTACAGTAGACCTGTTAAAATAAGGCTTACACTGTAAAAACAATTTACTTGAGGGCAGGGGCAGTCGAAAACATTTGAGAGCTCGAGGGTACCCTAGGGAATCCCCGGGATCCCTAGGAACCCAGGAGTTCCCCAGGGCACCCTCAGGGGTTAAAGCGGGACCAGCAGAAATATTCTACCGCCTGGCGGAAAGTCCTTCTCGCCCTCTTTCTTTCGTGTATTGTAGCACGGCGAGGCGAGGGGAAAGGTCCCTTTTGCACCGGCTTCTTCAGAGAGGATAAGCAGAGAAAATCCCCATTCTGAGCGACGAGCGATGGGTGCGGCAGCAGCGACCTTGTGAGGTAGCTTCAGCTCCTATTGCGTAATCTGCCCCATTTTTTGGCGCTCACCAAGCCTAGCCCCTCGGATGTAGGTTTTACGGAGCTGCAAGGCTGCGCCCGCGCAGTCAGTGAATTTCAGCTGTCGAAGGTCTTTGGTTTAGCCCGTGGCAAAGTAAACGCATACTTGAGAGCTGTGATGCATCCCCGCACCTATTGAAGGAACGTTTCATAGATATTTTCGGTTGATCAAGGAGCTCAAAACACATGCGCGAGAAGTGGTGACTTGAATATGTAAGGATGACTTACATCTTCACAAAACATTCCATCTTAAAAAAACGGCTTATCACGCTCAAACCTGCCTCAAATTGGGATTGATGGAAAAGAAAACGATGTACCAGGCGCAGGCATCTTCTAGAAGGTCTCTGTTTTCTAGCAGCGAGCACAAATTATTGGAGAACTTTAGCAGACTATGTTTTCAGGCCACGCTATATTTAGCGGGAGCTCGCGCTGCCGCTTCGATGCATTCTCTGAAGCGCGCGCCTGAAGTGGCAGCGGGCCTTTGAAAACGATTTACTAAAATACCCTGTTGTGTGCCTAACTCGCAGAACATGATGGCCAGCAAAATGTATGAAATTCATATTTACACATTCCCAACAACCACTTGAGGTGAGAGGGCATCAAGGGTGGATGTCAATTTTAGAAAGTTTTAGTGGGTCGCTTTTAGCCACTCAGATAACCGTACGGTCCATACCCCACAACGAAATGTAAGCTAGACTCGCTGTTTACATTCTTTATCGAGTGCGGCTATGGAGCGGAAAATACAATATTAAAACCCTTTTTGGCGAGTCTAGCGTGTCGTGTTATGGTTGAACGTTGCTTGTATCGGTACCATAGCACGGACCGCCAGGCTTCGAAGTATTTGCGGTGTCTCAAAGAAACTAAAGCAAAAGCAGAAAATTTTTTTCAACGTGACACAGAATTGTATTTAACATTATAAAAACCTTTTAGGTACCCTACGCCACGCAGTTAGCACAAACAAACTATCGCCGGTGTTTCCCACTTTTTTTTCTTGTTAGAAGTGAATGATGTTTAGGAAACTGTTAATGCGAGTATCCAACCTAACTGTAGATTTTAGTGCGAGTCGATACATTGCTGGGGAAAATAGCAAACAGCGCCGATGTCGTGTTTGCGCTAACAGTGTTGCGTAATGTACGCATACCGCTGCACAATCAACGCTAACGGAGTGAATCAGTAAATTTAGTGGCCCCCAAAAAAGTGTTGTTGTTTTGTTTTATTTTTATGGTTGAAAAGTTGTTATTTTTAAACAAGCAATTCGGTAAAGAGTGCTTCCGTTGGGCACCAACTTACGAGGCATCAATTTATTCTTATATACTAAATTCTGCATGGCCCTTGCGTAAAAATGTCAATATTGTGTTCGTGCTAGCTGCATCACGCACAGTAAGAAGACCAGTTCATTGCTCGAACATTTAAACAAGGCCTTTAACTTACGCTTTCTTACACCAAATAGACGTTTTGCGAGTACGCTCTATTACTGGTGGTTCATAAAATAATCTACGTTGTTTATTTAGAGGAAGGAAGTGGTGGTGAGGGGAGGGGGAATTGAATACAAAAGACGACTCGGGGAACCTCGAACTTTGTAAATATTTCACTCAACCTATAATCCTGAGCTAATTAAATCACTTTTTCTTTGTCTGTTTTAGAACTTGTTAATAGTCGCGCTAAATGCCAAGATGAGCGAAAAGTCAGATGCCCCTGTTTATTTGAGCACGAAGCTTATATATGCAACATAGAACTGGAAAAGCGTACGAGTGTAACCGTAGCAATCTCCGACCAAGCCTGAAGCTCACTTTTTCTGAACCCACGGAAAGGGTACCCCCCCGGAAATGACTGCTTTTGACGACTTGATAACGCAAGCCAAAGCCGTTAGTAAGTGTGACTCGTTGTCAGCTGTAATAATCAAGGTGCGACGATTTCTTGAAACCTTTCATCTATTAAAACAAATTGTGTAATAAATCCATTGCCATATTATGCTTGCGCTGATCTTGTAGCGGGGTAGCGGATATTTCGTCGAACGCCATTTCATCGAAAGCCGTTTCATTGAATGAACGGACATTTCACCGAACGCCGTTTCATCGAATCGCCAAGGGCCATTACATCGAATTTCTCTGTTATGGCTCTGTACCGAGTTTTGGGGCATAACAGTGCTTTATAGATGTTTCACCTTGCATTTCTTAAGACTAAGGTAGTCACTTAATTTGTGAAATTTTTTTTTTGAAGGTGGTGTCAATTTACAAAAAATAAAAGCATTTGTCATAAAAAGAAATAAAAACAATTGGGTGTGCGACTTACTGAAAAGCTTTCTCATGTACATACATGACTAAAACCACGACGCTGCAAATAAAGGACAGACACCTAAAACACTTTTAAGTGTCTGTGCTTTCTGTTTTGGTCTCATTTTTAATTGTTTCATGTGACATGGAGAGGGGTCATTGTTTCATGGAGGCTTTCTTCTCGAAGCAGGATATGTTCATGATAAAACTTATCTCGCCACTGCACCCAGTGATATAAAGACAGAAACACACAAAAAAAAAAAGAATTAGATGAAGTTGTGTATAAAAATTAAATTCCAAAATATTACAGACTGTAACGTTGTTGGATGAAAAGGTGTTCGATGAAATGGCTTCTATGAAGCGGCTTTCGAGGAAACGGCGTTCGATGAAACGGTGTTCGATGAAACGGCTTCGATGAAACGGTATTCGATGAAACGGCATTCGAAGAAATGTCCGGACGCACTTGTAGTGGTACGTGTGCATTACGTGGCACTTTTAG